AAAAAAAAAAAAAAAAAAAGTGGGCAAGACCTTGGGGGCAGGCCTGGCCCAGTGTCCCTCAGTCTACCACTAGCAGTCAGGCTGGGAGGGGACAGGTGGCCCCAAGACACAATAGAGAAGTCACTCTGAGCCCCAGTCTGGCACCCTGGAGACTGTCCCAGCAGCAACTTCCCTGCATAGAACAAGCTTTGGCCATAGCTGAGTTTGTGCCAGGAAGCCCAGCTTGAAAGAGTCCACACCGGAGGTCTGTGGCATTGGCCTGTCCCCAGCCAACATACACCTAGGAGAGTCTCTGTCCAAGAAGCTGTGGTAGCCACCGGGGGAGGCCATGTCTGGACACAAGGGGGTGGAAAGGCACGAGGCTCCCCTCCCATCCTGACTGTGCTTCGGGCCTTCCTTGGACCATACATCCTGGAGAGAAGGAAGGTGGACCCACAAAGCCCCCCCGGCTACCTGTGTGGGAATCTACCTGTGCCATTCAGGGTGCCATGCACTGACCACCACTACTTGAAACAGGACTCAGGTCGCCGGGTGGACCCTGCCCTGCCTGGACTGCCATGTGCTCAATTGCCACCTCAGCTGCTTCTCTGGGCTTAGGATGACAGTTCTATAACCAGGATGTTCCTAGAAAGTGTGACCAGAAGGACATACAGTGATGGCAACAACTACACCAGTCACAGGGCAGGGGCCTGGCTGTCACCCCAGTGGGACAGGCCATCTGATGCAGGCTGCCATGGGAGGAAGTGCTCTCTGCCGTGCACCTGGTAAACATCCACATGTCCAGCATGGGTGAAGCAAGCAGGCCCACAGCCCCAGTGCTCTCCAGGGCGGGAAAGAGCTGGCGCTGAGAGAGCGGGTGCTCCCACCCTCATTTGCTCTGAGAATCCAACCCAACAGATGTGCACTGGCTGCTACGTGGCCACCACTGGAGCCCCGACCACAGGCTTATTTTTAAAACAGCAAACAGACAGAAAGGACAACTGGTAACTAGGTACACGGCACAAGAATGTAACTTCTGTCACTGATGATAATGGGGACATTAAACAGCAAGGCTGGAGCGTGTTCTGGTGGAAACAGAGCTGCCAAGAGAGACGGTAAGTGGGAAATGACGATTTGGATCTCATATGTGGGTGTAAACACAGCAGTGTGAGCAAATTTTATCTGTCACATTAGTTTACAATTGGCACAATACATGCCCACCGATGCTGTGGGGGGGCCACTCTGCCAGCCCCCCACACCGATGGTCTTTTCGGCCCATGCCGGATTTACACCTCTCCTTTCAGCTGTTTACCACTCCTGTCCGGGCATGAATCACTCGCTTCTGCCACCCTGGTGGAGCAGGTACTGCCGCTAGGCGCCCGGAGCAGCCTGATCTGCATTCACAGAGCCCCGCATGCCAGGGAGCTCGCCCGCTGCCCGCCTGCACACACACGGGCCTTGGAGCCATCCTAGCAGCAGCCTGGAGTCAATGTTTGTGCAATTTCCTTTCAAGTATTCGCAGAACAGCTAAATTCTGGCAAGACACTTGGGACTCTGCACTCCCACAGCCAACTCTTCTCTCGCGAGATCTGGCGAGCAAGGTGCTTCTGCCAGTGGACCCAGCAGCAGTTTCTCTCTAGTTCGCACAGAGCTCTCCCTCACCCGGAGGGTGCAGGTCACACCGGAACATGACACTGCTCCTCAGCAGCCAGAAATGAGCAATTAAAGAAACCCAGAGGAAAAAACAGGAAAGCAGAGGCTGTCTCCGCAGTACTTACGACTGGCAGGCGAAAGACATGCTGAAGATGGGAATGCAGCGGAAGACGCCCTCCCAGCGCACGTAGCTGACCCGCTGCAGCCACTGCCCACTGAAGAGGCCATGCTTGAGGGAGGACAGAACAATCTGCACCAAGGAGAGAGCAGGGCACGGGTCAGGGGGGAGCCACACTCGGCCCACCAGGAGTGAGGCAGGAGCCCCACAGCTCCCAGCCCACACTGCTGCCAGTGACCCCTGCAAACTCAGCCTGCGCTGCCTGGAGGAGCAAAGGGACATCACACCTTTGAGGGTGCCCTGCCTGCAGCCCAGGAGCACCTTAGTCCATGCCATAGACATGGGGTACACCCAGGTGCAGAGCATTTGCTGCACGTGCCCCAGCTTCTCCTTGTGCAGGGCTACTTAGCACAGAAGGAAGCCAGCGTGTGGCAAGCCAGAGAAGATGGTGCCCTCAATACGGCCTGGTCCCTGCCTGGTCCTGGGCTGTGCCGTGGATGTCTTTCAAGAGCTCACCCTACTGAGATGTAGCTATCCGAGAGTAAGAAATTCACTGTCCCTGGGCTGGTCCTGGCAGAGAGTAGAGAAATGCCCACTCCAACGCAGGCCTTCTATAAAGATGCCCCACCTCTGACCTTGCCAGAGTGCGTGCAGGTCCAGGGCCTCAGGTGTAGCAGGGGTGACAGGAGTGAGGCAGGCAGAGCCTGAGGTCCACTGCAAGGTCTCCACATCCTCTGTCAACTCTGCACACCAGCCTCCAGTCTATCCTCCTAACAACTCTCATTCAGAAAATAACACTTGCCATGTGGGACAAAACACTGATATCATGCTCTTGGTCACAAATCCCACAGCAAGGTCTTGCCACAAATCGCACAGACACTACACCTGTCTGGATGTAGTAAAGCTGGTCTCAGAGGCCCTCCTGCCCCGAGTCCCCTGTATCTTCTGCTGTCTGGCTGCACCTGTCCCACAGCGCCCACTGCCCAGGAGACGCAACACACTTCCCAGGCCCAGAGCCACTTTTCCATCATCCCCAAAAGCTAGCTGAGGCCAAGCTAGACCCAGGCTGGCCCTTCTGTGACCAACCCCTTCCTCTTGCATAGTGCTCACCACAAACATGAAGATGGTGTAGAAGATGAGAGCCATGGCGCTGAAGGACTGGATGGAGGCCATCATGTTCCTCTGCAGACTGAGCGGGAGCACAATGCACAGGGACACCGCGAAGAGCAGGAACACACGGAAGGTGCCGCTTACCTGGAAGGGAATCGGCAGAGTCCCCAGGGAGCCGCGTGATCAGTTCCCACCCGCAGGGCTCATCTGTGCGCCGCTGGACAGGACAGGAGCACTGCGAGTAGAAGGCTGGAGGCTAGCACACGAGCTCCAAAAGCTGTCCTAGGACTCTGTGCTCCGATCCCACCGGGTCCAACCCAGCCCCGAATGAGGCCAGCCTGAGCAAAGATAGCCACTGTCCCCCTTCACACAGGGGAAAATAGGGGTGGGGCGGGAGCCTGTGCTGCCTGGGCCCTTCCTGCACACCCAGCACTGATGGAGACGAGCTGGAACCCGAAGAAGTCCAGCACAAGGTGCTTCTCTATCAAAGCTGACCTGCTTCAGAAGGATGGAAGTCTTGAAATTCTGGTCCAGAAAATTAGTCACAGAATTTCAAACTGGTGTTTGTTACAGCAGAGCACACAAAGGTCTAAAGATATGTAACATCTAACTTGGCTGCATCCAATCTCCAGCTCCTGGCCAGGCGTGGAGGTGCACATCTGTAGTCTCAGCACTCAGGAGGCTGAGGCAGAAAGACTACCAAAATTGAGGACAGCCTGAACTATAGTGAATTCAATCCAGGCCAGCCTGATAAAAGCTCTACCAAGAGCCCCCAAACGTCCCTTGGCTGTCTCTCCCCAGCTCCTAACTCCTACAGATGATAAATCCCAAGTCCACAACTCAGCATGGGAACCCTCAACAACACACCAGCAGGGCCAAAGACAGAAAGGCTCTGCACACAGCTGACAGAGGCAGCCAGTGCCCTCTCCAAGTCCCATAGGACCACAGGTCATGTGTCTGGCCCAGGGACACAGGATGGCGGGTGCAGGAAAGTCCCAAGGGTTCTGCAGGCAGGACAGACTCGAAATTCCGCTCAGTCCACAGTGAAGTGTGTGAAATGGAGAGTACAGGGAAGATGTGCAGAGTATAGACCAGGGCCACACTCACAAGATGCTCACACCCCACTGTCCGCCCGCAGCCTAAAAATCTGGCACATTCCACCCTACCTCTGCTGCTATGGTCTTCATAAACTGAAATCCTTTGCTACCTTCGGGCTCCCACCTGACCCCCCAGTGCTGGCATCCAAATATGAGGGACCCATCATAGAGAAGCCTCTCCAGTACCAGGTGCCCCTCTGCCTCAGGACCCAGGTCACAGATGTGACCCCTGCAGGGGCAGGGAGCACACAGTTATCCCTGAGGCTTCAGAGAGCCTAAGTCCACCAGGGCTGCGAGCAATTCCCTTACACCCAGGGTGAAGACCAGGCTCCCAGCATAGCCACACTGGCTGACAGCCAAGACAGCAAGAAAGCCTGGTCATTTCTGCCCCTTACCAGGCAGCACTGGCTGGCTAAGGCCAAATGGCTGTCCTTTTCTCTCCCAGGGTCTTTCACCAATGCAACCCTAGCATGGTCCCTGAACTCTAGAACACAGGACTTGAGCGGACAGCAAGGCACAGAGAAGCTTCTCCCAGTCAAGTGCACCGGTCTCAACCAACTGATACAGTGACACCAGCTGCCACAGCACTCAGGTTGAAGCCCTCACGATGAAGTCCTCACCTGAAACCCAAAGAGCCGAGCAAAGAAGTTGGAGCCCAGGTCACCAATCACAACATAGAAGGCAATGCAGGTTCCCAGCATCAGCCCAATCATGCTGTAAAGAAGGAGACCGTGGGTTTAAAATGGCATTCTGGAGGAATGTGCTGCCTTGCCATGATCAAAGCTGGGCCATGCTCAGAATTGGGGCCCAGGCAGCCAAAGGCCCAAGGACACCGAGGGCCAGGCCCTGCCCCCGGACTGTGCATGGATGCCTACAGCCTGGCTGCTGAGAGCTGCGATTTCAAACGCCCCCGGTCACAGGAACCAGGTGTGTTTTGTAGTGTACTGCACCGGGCTTGGAGTGAATACTGAGCCCCACTGAACTCTCTGCTGTATGGTATTGTATTTTTCTCTCCACAGGAGGTTCTGAGAGTTCTTTCAGATGCAACAAAAATGCACCATGACATTACACAAAAATCAACCGCTTGCAAAAAAGGTTTTCTTTCGAGTTTATAATTTGCTAATTTAGAAGCCTAAAAATACAATTTCCCAGCAATTTTTCATTTCATAAAATTTTACTCTAAAGGGAAAAAATGTAGCATTTGCAGTTTAATGCCGATTTTATGCAGCAGTGCTGGGGTACAGTTTAAGGACGAGCATTAAGAGATTAATTACAATGGATGGAGAGCAATTTCACTGTTCCTTAGGTTGTCCATTTTTAAGTACTTCTCGGTAATATTTAAATAAAGCTTTCAACCTTGACAACAATTATTTTAAGGGTGCAATAAACTAGACTTTAAACTATTTTGTAGATAGCTCTTCAGAAATGTATTAGAAGTTATAGCTGGGGATTTAGCTCAAGCCCACTGCTTGCCTTGTAAGCACAAGGTTCCAAGTTCAATCCCCGATACCAAAAACAAACAACAAAAAAAGGTTGTAACATATCAGAAGTTATAAACCAATCCACAAGCGAGACTTATCATTCATTCCTTAGCATTTCCTAACTGTCCCTTGTCTCCACAGCTACAAGGGACAAGGATCAAGGCGGCTCCCTTACCTGGTCTCCACCAGCATCTTCCCGGCTTTTCCATAGGCGTGGAATGCTAGTGCAAAGGAAAGAGAACAGGCACTCAGTCCGACATCAGCAAAGGGTACTGAGTAAAGCTGCGAAGGCAAACCTGACACAAAGCCATGGGTCCAGAGTTCATTCGGCATGGGGGATACTTCTAAATTCCAGTCCTCAGGCATTTTCAGGTTTACCATCCACAATCCAAACTACTTGTGATGAGGACAAAACAAGAGAGGCCCAAGGCAGATTGTTCTTTTCACACGATATTTGGGAGTGGGTCCTGCAAAATGGTGGCTCCTCACACATGGCAATGACAGTGAACCTGCCCACAACAGTGCCAGGCAGCAACCTGGCCCCATCCAGGGCCCTGGCATTGAGGGGTAGGGGTGTGGGGGTCCTCAGAGCTCAGAGGTACCCCACATGTCTAGTTTTACTCCAAACACCCAAGCTTTGCAACCTGCACCAGAGACGCTGTAGGGGCTTTTGCTTCACCCTTTGGGCATGATTTACAGAAGCAAACAGAATCCTGGCAAGTGTGGCAGTTGGGGAGGGAGGGGACAGGAGCTCTGGGGCTCCCCAGTGCCCAGGCAAGACATCCAGAGCCTTGCCAATGATCAGTGTGTGTTGCCAGGGCACAGGACATCCTGCTGTAAAAGGAGCCTCTGCCTCCCCTTCCTGACCACAGAATTATTTCCAGCAGATGAGAAATTAAATGCTGCTTTGCTGAAGTCCCTGGCAGGACTTTAACGCTGATCTGGTCTCTCAGCATTTCCTCAGTCCCATCTAACGTGGGCAAAAGAAAGTTCTGGTCTCCAAGGAACAGCCCAAAAGGCATGCATGTGACAGGATAGCTCCAGGCTCACTGGGAATCCCAATTCCCTGCCCCTCGTTTCCTCCCCTTTGCACAAGGCCAGAGGCCCTCCAAGGGGGATGTGAAGGCAGGAAACACAGCCAGCTGGGTATGAATAATACACACACACACACGTGCACACGCACGCACGCACGCACGCACACGCGCACTGACACAAATGTGGTCCTTCCCATCCACCCTGTTAGTCCCTATTACTTTTAACATAGGCACAGAATTGTTAAGGGCCCAAGGGCCTTGAGCAGTGAAGGCTTCAGCCTCCAGGGGTCGCTCTGCCTTTCCTAGACTTTGGTCACCAGTAAAGGAGCCCAGTACCCTTCAAGTGCATCTAACAAAGTGAAATCTAAGCTGGGGCTCTATACAATATCCTGAGTGCAGATCAAGATCTAAACTGGAATTTCAAAAACTAAGAACTCCAGAGGCCCTAGCCAGAGAACGTGCTGTCACCACAGAGGCCAGAAATAGGCACCAGGCGTGTTTTGCACAACACAGTATCCCAGTCCCACGTGAGGAATTCTGAGTGCCTACCCTTCTATTCCTTCTTCCTCTCCAAAAAGAAGCCACAGTCTGCAGCATGCTCCAAACTCTGGAGTGCCCTGTCCAAAAAGCCCCAGGAAATGTCCATATCCCGGGCATAGGGAAGTGGAGTACAAGTGGGAAGTGCTCTCTCTTCAGGTCCCAGAACAACCTAAATGGCCGCCGCACAAAGAGCAGACCTTGTCCCCATGGCCTCTCCCTTCCTTCTTCTCTTCCCTGGGCTACCCAGGGGGGTCTTCATGTGGACAGACAAGCCCTTCCCTACACTCCTCTCTATCTCCATCCAAGGGTCGGCCACGCGGAGGGCAGGTCACACCTGTGGCTCTGGCCTCATCAAGGCCCCCAGGCTGTCACCTGCCCTGCCCTTCATTCCCTGAGTCTGAGAAATTGGGCCAGCTTTTCTCCAGGGCCACAGGCATAGCTCACCCCCCACCTGCTTGTGACACCCCACTACAGCAAGCGAAGAGGAGGTGCTGTTCAAGGTGAAGCCACAGACAAGGCAGAGAAGAGGTGACAATCAAATGGGGGACACCTAAGAGGCAGGGAGGGGGCCATCAGCACACAGCAGGTACATACCTAACAGCTGGAGATAAGGCGCTAAGAAACCCAGTGTCTGTTCCCCAGCCTGTATGCTAAGCCCAGAGCACGTGCACAGGTCACCCCCAAGGACTGGCACAGTAGAAGTCACTCTGCACCGTGCCCCTGCAGGTACCACCCAGGCCAGGAGGAGTGGCCACACAATGACCAGGGGTGTGAAATCCAGGTGACACACGCCAGCAGCACTTACTCTGCAGAAGCCTGGCGGATGCCAAACACTTCCTGAAGCTGGATTGCTGCTTCCAGCTCAGACTACACACCTTGGGGCTCAAGTCGTAACTCAGGGTGAGGCCAAGGGCTCAGAACATTTCAGGGGTGCCATGGTGTCCAAAGCAGTTCACTCTGATATGTCTATTTATCTTTTGAAGGAAAACAAAGTTTAGAGAAGGCCACCTAGAGCAGGATGAGCTGGGCAGGAAAGGGGAGGCAAGAAGTTTGCAAAAACCACAGAACAACCAGGACAGCAAAAGCAAACAAAACAAACATGTGTACAACCCCAACAAAACCACCACATTTGACTCTCCACACCAGCAAAGATCATCCCCAGTGTCTGGAGCAGTGGGCCATGCCAGGGCAGAGAGACCACCACCTCAGTCTGCCAAACTGCCAAATGGCAGGACACAAACCCACGCTCACGTCAGAACACCGCCAACTCTCCCATCCAGTATTCAAGGTGAACAGGCTACTTGGACACAGGTCTGCAGCACCTGGATTTCCTACACCTTCTTCTAGTCTCCAGATCCAGATGAAGGCCATCTGCCCATCTCACCAGATAGCTGCCCAATGCCCCACCCTGGCCAACAAGGCGTCACAAGCTGGGTGCAGCGAGGGCATCTCTGTCCAGACCCCATGGTGGGCTATAGTGCAAGCCTGTGTGGGCCTCACATGGGGGAGGCCAGAGGAAGAAGAGAAGGCCCTCCCAGAGGATGTCTGTATCAGGCCCCCAGAAAGGACCATGCTGCAGAACAGCCACCCCTCCAGAGCAGCAGCACCAGAAGATCCTCCTCTCCCCTCTCCAGCTGCTGTTCCCCACAGTTCCCTCCCACACAGCGGGTCTATCCATCTCTGGGCACAAAGGAAGCTGGTGCTAAGAGGACAGATCAAATGCACAATCTGAGACCACTGGTGTTCAGCAATCTTTTGTTTTCAGCAGTCACCCTACTCGGGGAAAGTTGGAACCCCAGCAGCCAGTGCACAGGGGTGCCCATTAGGCAACTTTCTTTCAACCCTCATGTCTAGCCAAACCAGTTTGACTTCCCAAGGACTTTCAAAGAATAATCAGCCAGCATGCTATCAGAATCAGAAACCACAGCCTCTCCAGCACAGGGTCCCAAAGCTCCTTTCAGAATACAGTGCATATTTGAATTGTAGCCTCTGCTACAAAACCTAGCCCGAGACCTCAGCAGGAAAAGGGTTAGCCTGGCCATAGCTGTGGAAACCAGGAAAGAGGCTCACCCAAGCACCTCACCCTGGGTTCTAGTGGACACACTTCATCCTAGTGGAATTAAATCACTTCAGTGTGTGTCAAGTTACGTGATAAACCTTACTTCCTCAAGTGCCAACAATAAGACTGACACCACTGCCCTGAACAGAAGAAAAGGAAGGCTCTCCTTGGTTCTGAAGCCAGGAAAAAATGCCAGTGTCCTGGTGCCAGCACACAGCACACTAGCAGGAAATAAGTGCATCTCCAGAGATGTCTACTTTGGCTCTGGAATTCTGTGTCCCACTTCCTCTCATAACAGCTTCATCCCTCCTCTGTGAGAACAACAGGCCAGCCCTCTGCACAGGAGCCCAGCACCCTGGCTACACCTGGCTGGGGAATCTGGAGCTTCACTGCAGGCCAGGAGTGCACCAAACACCCACAGGCTGAGCTCTGAGAACAGGAAAGTGGCATTTCAACACCCATACCAAATGCTCCTGCTATGGGGTGCAGAACTGGAAGGCTCAGAGCCTGGGCCGAGCCAAGAAGAGAGAATTAGGCCTCACACACCAGCCCGAGAGTGGAAGACAGGAAGATAAAGGACGGTATCCTTGAACCAAACTACCTAGAAAACATTCCAAACTGCTATGACTGGCCCCTCTGGCTAAACTAAAAGAAACAGAATCACAACCCAACAACACCAGGAGGGAGACAAAGCCTTTGGGAGATGAGTTACTTAATCCAGCGTGAGTCTGACCAGAGTACATTTCCTCCTGGGAATTCCAGGTAGGGTGTTCAGCAGGATTCCTCACGCCTACTCCAAGGAAGGCTTCCCACTACCTGGAGACAAACACAGTCAGTGAGCCAGCAAGAGGGCAGTGAGTGCCGCTGGAGGGGAGACTATGTGTATACCTGCTCAAGAGCTGGGGGAATATTTCATACCCTTCTGCATCACTTCAATTCTGAAGCAGTTTTTTTTTAACGGCATTAAATTTTAAAATAAGAAAAGACACTACCGCTAAGAACCTCATTAAGAATAAAGTAGAAGAAAAATAACTAGACAAGAGGAATAAGCCCCCAGGTCCTAAGAACTAGAGCCTCCCTCTTCTTTTTTTCTTTTGCAGTACCAGAGATCAAACTCAGGACCCTGCACTTGCCAGGCAGGCGAGGTGCCACTGAGCTACACCCCCGGCCCTCACCCCTCTTCTTGAGCAGGTATCTAATACAGTCCGGCATCCAACCACTGAGGGAGCCAGGTCTCACCCAGGCTGGCGTAGGTCCTCCTTTTGCTCAGGCTGGCGGACTTTACCAGGAACATGCATGACTGGTGTGTCATCCAAGAGCAGAAGACCAACAGCAGGGCCCCCAGGACGATGCCACACTGCGGAGACAACAGAGAAAGCACTGTTCACAAAACCGGACAGTCTCCACATCTCCACCTCACACATCTACAGCACCGGGGTTCACAGGAGCCTCCTCTGTCCATGCTTGTGGGCCCTGGAGACCCCCACTGTACTGCCCTCTCCTCCTGTGGGTAACCCCACTAAGTGCTGACCAGCAATGGCAGGAACCCTGCGGTGTGGATTCCAAAGAGCACCAGGGACATCCCCACACCTTTCTGAAGTCTTTCTGGACAGCTGGGTGTTGCCAGCAGGGTTTTTCCACTCCCTGCCTGTACCCCATGTATACTGCCTTAGAGCCATCCGGGTCACCTGTATGTGGGAAACACTTTAGAAGGAAGAGATTAAAACTGACATATGTTCTTTTCATATAAGTTAAGCAGACCATTACCATGTGACTCTGTGATTGCACTCCTAGGTATTTCCCCCAGAGATGAAAGTGGCCATACACCAACCTGTTCTGTATAGCAGGTTTAACCCTAACCCAACAGCTAAAGAGCAACTGTATGGCCTTCAGCGGGCGCTTGGACACAGCGTGGTTCATCTGTACAAATGAACATCATTCAGAGTAAGCACACCCCGCGTGGACATGGGTGCTTCTCAGATGCACCGTGCTGAGGGGAAGTAGCTGGACTCAAAGGAAACAGACTGTGAAGCTATTTACAGGACACCCCAGGAAGGCAAACTGTTGGGCTGGGGAGCAGGTCACAGGGTGGGAAAGAAGTTGACAACAGAGGGACAGAGGTAACTTTTTTTGACTACGATAGAAACATGACTGTACACATTTATTAAAACCAGCCAACTATGCCCTAAAACCAGTACACTTCACTGCATGTGAACGATTTCTCCGTAACTCTGACCTTTAAAACTTTAGCACCACTACACTAGTGCAAGATATTAACAAGGGAGGCTGAAGGGACAGGGAGGAAGTCTACTGAATTCCCTGTGCTTTCTACTTCATTGGCCATAAATCCTAAACTGCTAAAAATAAAACAAATTCTATCAAAAAATACACACAAGCCACAAGCAGTGGCGCATGTCTGTAATCCCAGCTACTCCAGAGGCTGAGGCAAGAAAAATGCAAGTTCAAGGCTGGCCTAGGCAGTCTGGCAAGACTCTGGATCAAAATAAAATGTTAAAAGAGATGGGGATAGGACCGGGGATTTAGCTCAGTGGTTCTGCCACATGCTTCACAAGTGTAAGGTCCTGAGTTCGATCCCTGGTACCAAAAAAAAAAAAAAAAAAAAAAAAAAAAAAAAGAAGCGGAACACACACACACACACACCACACCACCAAACTTGCATCACAATGGCTCCACGTTCTCTGCAGTATTTGATAATATGTGGAGAATTTGGGCCTCCAGATACTCACTGGCAGGAGCATACACACCCATGAGCACGCGCACACACACACACACACACACCACACCACCAAACTTGCATCACAATGGCTCCACGTTCTCTGCAGTATTTGATAATATGTGGAGAATTTGGGCCTCCAGATACTCACTGGCAGGAGCATACACTGGTATGCCCGCCTGGAATCTCTGGGCAACATATACTAGAGCTGAACACACGCATACCCTATGACTCTGCCGTTCTGACACATACACAGTCACTTCACCTGTATTCACAACAGCGCTCTGTACATCATAAGAGCTCCAAACAGGAAACACCAGATGGCTCACAAAGGTATAATAAACTCTGATAGATCCATTCAGTGGGATACTGGCCAGATACTGAAGCATACACATATTGCAATTCTACCTCAATTTAAAAACAGGTAACATGAGCCAGGCATGGTGCTATACACCTGTAATCCCAGCATTTGGGAGGCTGAGGCAAGGGGATCACCATGAGTTCAATACCAGCCTGGGCTACATAGTGAGTTCAAGGCCAACCTGAATTACATAGTGAGACCTTGTCTCAAACAAAACAAAACAAAACAAAACAAAACAAAACAGCTGGTGATGGTGGCACACACATATAATCCCAGCCCTCAGGTGAGGCAGATCACTGTGAGTTCGAGACCAGCCTGGAATACACAGTTAGTTCCAGGTCAATCTCAACTACATAGTGAGACCCTGTCTCCATAAAAACCAACAAAACAAAACAAACAAACAACAAAAACAAAACAAAAGGTCAGACATGGTGCCACATACCTATAAACCCAGCACTCAGGAGGCTGAGACAAGAGGATTGCCCAGAGTTCCAGACTAGCCTGAACTACAAAGCAAGACCCTGCCTCAAAAAAGGAGAACACACACACACACACACACACACACACACACACACCACTAATCTCTAGTACCAAACTTGGTGGGCAGGAGAGATTGGCAGAGGGGTTGGAACTGTGGTGTTCTTCAATGTGGAGTGAGTCACATACGTTTGTTCACTGTATGCAAATTCATCAAGAGTATACCTGCTGGGGCCAGGGATTTAGCTCAATGGCACTGTGCCTGCCTTGTAAGTGCAAGGTCCTGAGTTCTATCACTGATACAAAAAAAAAAGTACACCTGCTGGGTGTGTAACACACTCCTATAATCATAGCACTTAGGAGACTGGGGCAGGAGGATATCTGTGAGTTCAAAGCCAATAGTGAGTTTAAGACCAGTCTGGGACAATAGTGAGATCCTGTCTCAAAAAACAAAACAAAAAAAAAAAAAAGAAAGAAAGAAAGGCGTACACCCAAAGTGTATACAGTTTTCTGTATGTTAAACTTTACTAAGAAGTTCAAATATTTTAATAATGCCAGAATTACTGAAACAAACAACAAAAAGACCCTAACACTAAACCAAAAAAAAATTTTAATGACATGACTGTCAAACACTAAATACACATCCCCAAATAGCCTGCTGGCCTCCAGCTGTGCTCCAATCTGAGAGGCCTCCCCTAAGGGAGATGCCAACTCTAGAGACAGCAGCAGCTGGAAGCCCCTCAGGACAGAGTGACTGTTTCTGCACATGGGCTTCCTGCTTAGCCTCAAGCTCCTCCCAGGCAGGTCTATGCCTGCCTCACCTTCAAATGCTCTGGCAGGACACCAGGTGTTCCAAATATGGGGACAGCTGAACCACCTGGACCCTCCACAATGGTCAAAACCAGAGCTTAAACCACTTGGAGGGCCGGCATTAAGGATGACAGCAGCAGAGTGCAGATAAGGAACCCGCCACCACTCCACATCCCTGGATGGAATTCTGCTACCCGGCAGGGAGTGGCTGGCACAGCACTGCGATTTACACAGATGTTATCCCAGCAGCTGCAGTGACCTGTAGCTCCATCCTCCTACCTACACTGTAACCACATCAAACAGAGCCCACACCATCACCCTCCGTGCATTTTCACCCAGGCCAGGATAAAGGGCCCAGCGGGGATCAAAAATTCTCAGATCAAAAATTATCTTTTAGGAGCCAGGCATGGTGGCGCATGCCTATAATCCCAGCACTCGGGAGGCTGAGGCAGGAGGATCACTGTGAGTTTGAGACCAGCCTGGGCTACAGAGTGAGTTCCAGGTCAGTCTCAGCTACATAGAGAGACCCTGTCCCAAAAAGAAAACAACAACAAAAAATTCTTAGGGCCCGGGATTTAGCTCAGTGGTTCTGCCGCCAGCCTCGCAAGTGCAATGTCCAGAGTTCAATCACGGTACCCACCCACCCCAAAAAAAATCTTTTATATTTTTATCCAAAAGATACAAAATATGAAAAAAGACAAGTGTTAACGTAAAGTTAAACTACCAATAATATCATTTTCAGTTTCAAAATGTCTATCTAGCTGTGCATGCCTGTAATCCTAACACTTTGGGAGCCTGAGAAGGGAAAACTAAAAGTTTGAGTCCAGCCTAAGCAATTTAGCAAGACTATCCCAAAATGGGGCAGGGGACAGAGCCGGGGATGTAGTTCAGTGCAAAAACCCTGGGTTCAATCCCCAGTACCCAAAAATAAATAAATAAATAAATAAATAAAAATAAGTCCACCTTATTTCACTTTCTAACTCTGGCATCAACAGATACAACTGCCAGGACCTCTCCAGTGTCAGCTCCTCCCTGCCACGCAGTAGGGTACAGCAGCACACATGGCAAACATGATTCCCCTCGGGGGGAGCCCCGTATTCACTTGCTACAACAGTCTTATGGGAAGAAGTCGCCCAATGTGATGTTTCCATCAGCCTCTGAATGCCAGCTCATTTGCGGATTATTAACAGAAGTCGAAAAGAAACGGCCGTTTTCTTTCACTTGGCGTTCAATAGTGAGACGAAACCAAACGTTTTTACATAGTAAGACTGCCAGTAGCAGTGAAATCTGAACAGAACAGACCAAATACGTACGATATGTGTGTGGAATGAGGCTCTCAAGTGACCGAGCTGGTGATTTTTTAATCACCTTGTAACCAACTGCTTCCGTGCAGTTGGGCAGTTTTAAGAAAACGGGATGAAGCAAACCCTACCGAATCCTCTCGTTTTCCCCTTGCGCGCACGCAGCCCCCCGGGACGGTTTTGCGTGCTGGACTCGTCGGCACTTAGTCTCCTCGGCCCGGCTGCGCGCACACGTCGCCTGTCCCGCCCCCCCGAACGCTGGGCGCAGGCTAGGCGGCCCAGACGCACCTGTTTGAAGCAGAAGGGCATGGTGAGCACGCTGACCCCCACTATGCTGTTCACGACGTTCGTGACCAGCCCCCAGTTGGAGGCAGTGGCTGGAGTCATCCTGAGGGCCGGCGCCGCCTGCAGAAGGCCCGGGAGCAGGCGGTGGGACAGGTCAGCCTCCAGACCCCGCCAGGCCGGACAACCGCCTCATGACCATCGTCCGCCTCTCTCTGGTAACTGCCTCCGAGTTTCCGGGACCAGATCAGCAAGGGTGGGAAGCTCCGCTAGTGACACCTCAGCAGTGTTTCTCCTCAGCCGACTCGTACACTTCCGCCGGCTCCCCACCGGAAGTGACGACACCGGGGACGGGGCGCGGAGCCAAGAATCTAGGAAAAGCCGCTAGAAAAGGCCAACCGGGAGGGGCCTGCCATGCAGGGGCGAGGCTCGGCGGGACGCAAGCCAATAAGATGCCAGAATGTGTGGTCCCTGGTTGGGCGGGGCCAGGAAGGGACTGGGCGGGATCAGGGCGGGGCTCGTTGCGATATGAGCCAATGACAGGTAGGTCTGCGAGGGCCTGGCGGGGGCGCGGTAGGACTCTGGGCGGAGCCTTGGATGGGGAGGGGCGAGGCTAGACCCCGGCCTTTGGCAGCTCACCTGCCGGGAGGCGGAGCCGGGCTCCTTGATGCTGGAGGAGCAGGCTCATCCCCCAGGGGCCTTCAATCCGGAAAGGCGGCGTGTACCGAAAAGGATCGGGTTTGGAGAGCTCTTCGAATTTAGCCTCTAGAACGGTTTCCACACATGTTCCTGGTGCCCGGAGCGCAGGAGGCGGTGCTTTTTCTGAGCTGAATACGATCTGTGCAGAGAAATTACCACCTCCGCTTTACAAAGGAGGCTCGAGGCACCGAAGGCTTCAGAAACTCAGCTAAGGGCCTACTGCTCGTAAGAGGCGGGGCGTAGGGCTCGGCCGCACAGCGGGTGCTCGGCCAGACGCCTCCCCCAGAGCAGTGAGAAGAGAGGGTAATATCCTGAAATGAAGGAGCAAAGGAAACGTGAGGGGGCGAGAGGGAGAGACTGTGGCCCGAGAAATCTGGGAAGGCGTCAAGAAGGGGTGGCATCTAGACTGAATCTTGAAGAACAAACGAATGCAAACACGCGGGAATGTGGGGGTGGCCGAGAAAATCCTCCGGAAGAAGCAAGTAATTCCAAGTGGGCTGGAATTGTGCATAGGCAGAATCACAAGCGGCTGGGAGAGGCCACCAGGGAAACAAGACCACGTTTGCAGGCACAGCTGCGGCTCAGGTCTTAGGAGTTGGGCTCTTCAGGCACCATGCAGTCTCTCCGTGAGACTCTGCCCTGGCCTCAGGCAGGAGAGGCAGAAGAAGAAATGCCAGGGTAAAGAATGATTTAAGGACGGGTGTAAACACAGCTACTTTGGAGGCTGAGGCAGGAGGATCACAAGTTCAAAGCCAGTTTGAACACTTTAGGAAGACCTTATCTCAAAATACATGGGACTGGAGATGTAGCTCAATGGCAGTGCACCCCCTGAGTTCAACCCCCAGCACTGGGGAGAAAATAATATTTGAATACAAAGCCAAAATAATAAATGCCTCCTTTGTGTTCATTTATTTTTATGTGAATGAAATCATATATACAGTCTGTGACCTGCTTCTGATTGTGTAATTTTTAGTGAAATACGCACAAGATAGGATGTGAAATTTAAATATATACTTTAAAGAATAGCAATAAATACCCATGGAACCAACATCAGCTTTAAAAACAGCAGAAACTGAGGTACGCTCTTTCCATCCTCTCTCAATTCTGCCTTCCTCCCCTCTTCCCTGCCATCCTCGAATGGTCTCTGTCTACGTTGCCCTTACTTTTCTTTAACAGTTTACTGCATCGAATATAGCCCTAAACAATTGCAGAAAGACTAGCTTTTGTCTCTTATTATTCATCGTCCATCTTCTAATTGAATAGGGATGCACATGTGGGTGCCTAGAATAAAGAAAACACTCAATCCTTAGAAGGCAGGATCTGTCCCTTCCTTCATCGTGGAGTCTGGAACACAGATGTGGTGGTACGGATCCATCTTGTCATGAGGCCAAGGGCAGGGGTGGAGGGAGCAACAAGCCAGACGGAGCTCAGATCCCTGTGGGACAGCACGGAGCAGAGCCACCACACTGGCCCCTGACTACCTTCTCCCTACTACTCCATGGCGTACAGACAGAATGTCCGGTTTAGGTTACTGTTATTTTTCAATTCTGTTTCATGAAGCAGCTGTGGTCTCATTCAATAACGTATTATGATATAGCATTTCTGCACTTTTTACTTTTATAATAAAAGAATTATATTTCAGATATTCTTCTGCAACTATCTCATGCAACACCATTTACAAGATTCACCATTACTTTTATTGTATTTATTTATTTTTGGTACCAGGGATCGAAACTGGGACCTTCCGTTTGCGAGGCAGGTGTTGGCAACACTGAGCTAAATCCCCAGCCCTCACCATTACTTTTATGTCACATGTATGTGCTGTGAGTCATTCCTTCTCACCGCTCTATGGAATCCCATTGTTAAAGTAGCCCAGAATATATCCCCATTCTCCTACCAAGGGCACCTAAGTTGTCTCCAATTATTTGACATGATAAACAGCAACACGGTGAGCATTACTGGACTTGTCTCCTTGATGTCTGTGTGTTAGTTTCTCTAGCGTGAATAACTAGATGTGGAATTGCAGATCCAAGAGCGTGCATACCTATGACTTTAGTCAAAGCGTTCTTCAAAGTAGCTATAAAAGTCCTCCTGGTTTACATCACAGGTTGGCAAGCTTTTTCTAAGGGTCAGATGGTACATATTTTCAGCTTGTCAGGCCATGCAGTCTCTGTCACAACTACTCAGTTCTGCTGTTGTGGAAGCACCCTTGGATAAGTGGGTCTGCCTGCACTCAATAAAACTTATTTACAAAACAGAAGCTGTCCCAGTTTGACCCAAAGTGCTGTGTGTTGTCTCCTCTCATCCCCAACAGTTTGATAACATCAATTTGGCCAGTGTAGTGAGTGGAATGGAGTCCCCATGACAGCTTTCATTTCTTTTCCCTTAGTTAGTCTTTTGTTTTGTTTTTTTGAGATAGGGTCTTGCCTTGTAGTTCAGGCTGGCCTTGAATTCACTATGTATGCCAGACAGGCCTTTAACTCATGGTGATCCTCCTCCCTCAGCTGCCCAAGCGCTGGGATTACATACATGTACCACCATACTTGGCTTATTCGTATTTTTATTGTTCCTTCATGTCTCTTCTGTGAAATGTGTGTTTGTTTTTTGCTCATCTTTCTATTTAGCTGTTTATTCTTATGACTTTTGAGGAGTCTGGATTTTGGGGGGAGAATGGGGTACTGGGGATTAGGGCCCAAAGCCCTGTACATGCCAGGCAAGCCCTCTACCACTGATACACATCCTCATACTTTTTGAGTCAGGTTCTCTCTAAAGTTGCCCAGCATGACTTTAAACTTGAAATCTTCCTGCTTTCACCTCCTAAGTAGCTGGGATCACAGGTATTCACCACTCAGTGTGCCTGGCTTCTTGAGTTCTTTCTTTCTATGCACTTGACAATTAACCCTGTGGCCCTCAATTTATGTTTGTCAGATGTCTTCTTATCGTATTTATATTTCGTCGCTGTTGTAACAAAATTACCACAAATTCTGCCAGTTAACACAAATTATTATCTCTCAGTTTTGGAGGCTAGAACTACCCTTTAGATCACACTGGACTAAAATCTCCCTCCTGGAAGCTTCAGGGAAATTGGCTTCCTGTTCATCTGGTTGTTGGCAGAATTCTGCTCCTAGAGTTGCAGAACCAAGGTCCTCTTTTCTGAAAGGCCATTCCCAAGCTGGTCGCCACCTTCCTCTATCTCTAAAGCTAGTGAAGTTTCTTCCAAGCCACATCTCTGAGCCAGCTGGGGAAAGTTTCCCTGTTTTAAAGATTCGTGCGATTAGCCTGGCCGCTGGGATGATCCAGGATAATCTCCACATCTCAAGGTCTATAACCCTGATCCAACCAGCAAAGTCCTTCTGCCATGTAAGGCCACATCCTCAGGGGCTGTGGGGGCCAGGGTGCCACTGACCGCCTCACGATACAATGTGGGTTGTGTGTCTCTCTGAATCCCACCAGGGGGTGTGGTATTACAGTGGTTGTCGCTGATGAGGTTTACTCTGATCACCTGAGCTGTCTCCCACAAAGGCCTCCCTTTCTCCTCTGGAGTTAGTGAGCAGTTTGTGGGGAAATACCTTGAAGCTAAATATTTTGGTCCCTAGCTGGGTGTGGTGACGCACACCTGTAGTCCCAGCACTCAGATGGCTGAGGCAGGAGGATCGCTGTGAGTTCGGGCTACATGGTGAGTTCCAGGTCAGACTCAACTACATAGTGAGACCCTGTCTCAAAAAACAAAAACAAAAAAAGAAAAAATATCCTGGTTCTTGACAAACTTTCCATTATTTAATTTATCTACATTAGGAAGGACTCCTGGCTCCTATTTTATGTGGTGGGTTACAATCCATTGCAGACACTTTTTTTTTTTTTTGCAGTCATATGGATCAAATCCAGGGCTTCATACAGCTAACACTATCTTGATGCTTGAGCTACCCCAGATTAACCCCTTCCACCATTTCCTGTGTCCCTCAGCATGTTCCTCTATTTTGCAGTCATGGGGATCAAATCCAGGGCTTCATACAGCTAACACTATCTTGATGCTTGAGCTACCCCAGATTAACCCCTTCCACCATTTCCTGTGTCCCTCAGCATGTTCCTCTCATTCTCTGAGCTCAGCCTAGCCTTCTTCTGGCTCATTAGGGTGTCCCTAGCTAATCTTGCAGGACACCCCCTTCCTGTCTCCAACGACCCCATTCCTTTCAGTGGAGACCTCCATTAGAAGCCCTGGTGGAGTCCTGTGTGCTCATAGCCTCTGGGGCCCCACTGCACGCCACATGTTCACATCTGGATTTCTTCCCATGCCTCGATGCCTGTCCTGGAAGATGAGTCCTCACCAGCATCGCTGACGGGCCTGTCCACAGGCTCACCTTGATGTCAGGTCCTCCCAAGTCTGTGACTCCAACCCTGATGTCTCTACCACCTCCTTCAGCTCCTGTCCCCACTCCTCGGGGAGGCCCCCAAGCACCCTGAGCTCGCAGAGCTGTCTGCAGTCTCTTAAGCACCAAGACACTGTGAACCCAGGCACACTGAAATGCCTCTCTGAGTCCCAGGCAGCACCCACCACTGAAAGGCTTCTAAGAACAGCAGCTTCCCACCAGATTGGTGGGCACAACAGCTGTGGGAAGCACAGGGGACGGAGAGCCACGGCTCGAGGTGATACCCTTTGGGGTTCCCTCTGGGAACCTTGATCTACCCTCCCTCTGCGGTGAGGATCTTGCTTCTCCCACACGGCGCAGAGGCCGCACCTGCTTCTCTTAGGGGTGAGCCAGGTCTCTCCTCACTCTGGGGCAGGGTGCATTTCTCCACCTCCCCTTCCCTTCCTCCACTGTCCAGCCCAACCCATCACCAAAGAAATGCAGGGGCCCAGCCTGCAGTTAATCACAGAAGAGCCAACCCTGTGGGTGACCAGGGCTCCAGGAGATCCAGCAGCAGACAGCAGGCCGTGCACAGGACCTGGCCCGGGCCATGTCACCTGGAAAGCTTGAACCCGCTCCAGCCCCACACACCGCGTGAGGTCAGTGCAAGAGCTCCTGCCCCAGCTTCTCCATCGGGCAGTCCTCCCTCTGCCATCCATCTCAGGCTTCTGATCTGGGGGCACAGGAAGACAGAGAGCCTGGGGGCTGAGCCATGTGGCCTCAGGGAGCCTTGTGTGGGACCGGGTTTCTGTCCCCAGCAGGCAGAGGTTGAGTTCACTCAGCTCAAGTGCTGAACTGTGAAGAAACTGAGTCCCCACCCCTTCTCTAGGGCTTCTCCCCATATGAGCCTTCTGTTCCTGCAGAGTCCTAAAGCCCCTCAACTTGGGGTGGCATCGAGGGGAGGGGGAGCGCAGAACTGGGGGCCTCCATCCCCACCCACCCTGTCTCCCCATTTCTACAAAGCCAGAGCCACAGAGCTAAGCACAAGTCTGGCAGGCGGGAGTGGATCTAATTTAGCATCCACCGCCCATTTTAAAGCCACAGCTGGGAGGGGAGCCCTGAGGCAGCCACGTATAACACACCATGGTGGAATCTACCCAGGCCTCCCACGTGGAGAGTTTGGGGGCCAGCCAGGCCCATGGCCAGGGACCACATCCGAGGACAGCTTGGGAACCAAGCAGGACAGGCTTCTCCAGGAGCCTGGGGCAGGGTGTGAGAAGTGAGATCCGGTCCTTGGCTGTGTCTCCAAGTAGCCTGGATCTGCTCATGTGATCAGCCCTTTTGCAGAGGAGGAAAGGCCCAGGTCTGGTCCCCTGCTCCTCTGTCAGGTCCTCCCCCAAGCCAATGAGGAGGCACCCAGGGAACTGCCTGGTGTGAAGAGCAGAGCTAGGGCTGGTGGGGAGGGTACCTAGGGCCCAGCCAGGGTTCCACTTGGAGCTCAGGCCTGTCTGCATCCCCCTGGTGGCTGGAGGACTGTGGGGAGGGCTGCCCCCTACCCACCAGGGTGTCCTGAACAGGCCACGGTGAGGAGAGGGGGCACAAGTGCCACTCTGAGGGGATTTAGAGGAACCACGAGGGCCAGCGGGGCCTGGAGTGGAGAGCAGTTCTGAAGCTGGGCAGCCATGAGACTCTCAGTTGAAAAACTGCTGGCTGCGGCCCCACCTCCCCACAGGCCGCTGTCCAGTCCTCCAGCACCCCCACTGGGGCTCAGCAGAGAAGGCCAGAATCCAGAAGCCAGCCTTTCAGGCCCACCCCACCCAGCTCAAGACAGCCCTGTCCAGGGCTGGGTGCAGCAGGCAGGAGGACATCAAGCAAACTCAGCCCTCTGGGAGACCGGCTGAGCTGAGGGAGGAGTTGGGGCTCCCTTCTCTCTCTTCTCGGTGGCTCTGGGATTGAAGGAAGGAGCCCAGGGGGCCCTGCCCAGCCCCAGCCCACCCTCCACCTCTCCTGGAAAACAGGTAGCTAGAGGGAGGTGCCAGAGAGGGACACCCACACCTCCTCCTGGGCTTGAGCCTGGCCCGCCCCCCACCATGCTCACCATCCCCAAGAATCTCACTGGGGAGACAAAGGGCATCTGGCGGCATGTGGGGAAGGCCAAAGACGTGTTGATTCTCCTCCGGGCATACTGTGGCTATGAGCAGAGCCCCGGTCCTCACAGTTCTGCTGTTCTGGGGACAAGACGCCCTCACCTCCCAGCTCCTCAGCCAAGGAGTCGGCTGCACAGAAGACCCTCCAAGGTCACTTCCTCTCCCGCATGCAATCCTCCAATTTTGTGCCAGCCCCCAATACCTCAGAGTGTGACCTTCTCTGGAAATGGGGTCTTCACAGATACAATCGGTTAGGATGGAAGAGCGGGCTCTACACCCAGTGGGACTGGAGTCCCTGTGACGACAGGAGGCCTGATGCAGATGCACAGGTGGGAGGCGGAGAGCAGGTGAGGCTTCTACTTGTCCTTGAATGCCAACGATCAAGCGCCGCCCCCCAGCCCCTGGGACAGTCTGTCTCCCTGCTGCCTCGGAAGCATGGCACGCGAGGGCCCAGGCTGTGTGGCTCAGACACGCCCTGCTCGGCTTCTAGGCCACCCCACTGCCACATCTCGAAGACTGGGAACTTGTCCCACCCCTGCTCGTGAGACAGCCTGCCCTGCTCACTCCTCCAGCCCTCCAGTCCCCCAGTCCTCCAGCAGGTCCCTGGCGCTTCTCTGGCCTTCCCTCCTCCCTTGGCTCTGCGATCCCCGCCCCCCAGCCACCCCTCCGACCCCAGCCGGCACACCCAGGTCCTAGCACCCGCGGAATTTTGCCGCCCTCACCTGGAGAGTCACGGAAATGGGCTCTGTGCATGTGTGCGCAGGGAAAAACAGCCTAATTCCCACAGGCGCTTCCACAGATGGAGGAGGAAAGAAAGCGGCTAGGTCCTCACTTGCACCCGTTGCACCGATCAGCTCCTGCCTGGGTTTCTTTCTGCCCATCCCGCTGGCTGCCATTCTGGTTCAGGAGCCAGGGAGAAAGAACAAGCAAACTCAAATCTGCCAGGGAGCTGAGTGCTGTGAAGTGGAAGGTTAGTCAGGGAAAGGCATCTGGGGGCTCCTTTGTGTAGGGGGTCAAATTGTGACCCCTCAGATCTATGTTCAGTTGGAACCCCAGAATGTGACCTCATCTTGGTGGCTAGGTTACGGTAAGGCTCTTGAGACGAGATCGTCCTGGATTTCCAGGTGACATGGACACAGAGGAGAGGTTCACGAGACGACAGGCCAGGGGCTGGAAGGCACCACAAGCCAAGGGACACCACAGCCCCCAGCTGGGAGAGGCAGCAGGCCCTTCTCTAGAGACTGGTGGGGGCACACCTGCTGATACCCCGATGTTGGACTCCTGGCCTCTGGGACGGGACAATAGATTGGTGTTGATTTCTGGGCACCCCCAGAAGTCACGGTTCCAATACCATGTTCACCGGTTCTTGGGGGTCTCTGAGATGCTGGGGAGCACAGGTACAGGGAACCTCAGGACGAGGTCTTCCCAGGAGGACAGAAGAGCCATCTGCAGAGGGATCCAGTGACCTGCAGAGATTGGCAGATGGAGGAGGGAAAGGGCAGCTAGACAGAGGGACAGGCATTGTCACGTGCCTAAGACCTGACCAGGTAAACAGAAGGGTTAGGAGGACTTCAGGAAAGTCTTTCTAATCATGCTTCTCTTTTCCCCACTCCCTCCTTTCCCCTGCCAGATGCAAGGGTGGAGTTCTGCAGCCTCTGTGGAACCGTCCTCGACATCTCCATTTCGGTCTTACCTTTCACCCGATCTGTCAGGAAGTCCTGGTGAGCCCATGTTCAGCCATCCAAGTCTCTGACCATCTCTCACTACTTCCTGTGTCTCTGTCTCAATCCGGGCTATACTCACCAGGCTCTTGGCCACCAATGTCTTGGCTACTAAAGCCTTTAGGAGACAGGGCCTAGTGGGAGGAAGCTAGGTCATTGAGGATGAGCCTTCAAAGGGGATGTTAGGGCCCTGGCACCTCGTCTTCCTGTCCTTCCTCTCTGTACTTCCCAGCTGACCCAAGGTGACCAAGTCTCCTCCATCAGCTGCTCCTTGCCATGATGCTCTGTGCCACCACAGGCCAAAGTAACAGAGCCAAGTGACCACAGACTAAAACCTCCAAATTATGAGCCACTATAAACCTTTGCTCCATTTGAATGGCCTCATTTAGCTGGGTGGGGTCCTGCACACCTGTAAACCCATACTTGGGAGGCTGAGGCAGAGAATCACAAATTCAAGTCTACCTGGGCATTTTAGCAACTTAGTGAGATCCTTTCTCAAAAAATAAAAAGGGCTTGGGATACAGCTCAATGTGAAGGCCCTGGGTTCAATCCCCAGGACTTCTAAATAAATAGATATTGTTCTGTTCAGTTTAAATTGTCCTCCATTTAAATTTGCACAGTCATGGAAAACTGAGTAGCAGCATCTCTCCTGCCCGCCTGGATGGGACTCTGTGGCACTGTTGCTTTGGTTCCTGGTAGAGGCAGCTCTGGCAATCTTTAGCCATGACCCTCTCCATTTTACAGATGGGAAAACTGAGGCTTGGAGAGGTGGAGCTATGTGCTGAAGGCCACGGGACTCCTAAGTGTGGGTGGAGGAAGGACAAAGGTCATGGATCTTTATATTCCACAGGGCCACTTGCATCTAATCACTGTTCAGAGCTGAGGACCGACCATTCCGCAGACACTTTAGGAACGTGCTGGACATGCTGCTTAGCTACGTCTGACCCTCCTCCAGGCTGGCCTGAGTGTAAACTATGGAGCGGACCTCCAAGAGATGGGGAAGCTGGGACCCACTCTGCCCTGGTCTCAGAGTGTGAGCCCTTGCCAGGTCCCAGGGAGGGATGGCTATAGGGTGCTGCATCCTCCACCTTCCCAAGGTGGGGCCTGAGAGCTGGGGTGGCAAGGCAGCCTCCTCCCCCACAGCTGCTCCGCTGAGCTGGATGGACAGTGTGACCTTTGCAGATATCCTCAGTCCAGACAAAAGCTGCAGATTGTAATCTTGGCCACCAGGAGGAAATGCCCCCATACCTTCCTTGTCGCTCTGTAATTAGTGGGGACAGTGAAGAATCTGACGTGATGGAGAACCTGCTTTCATCTACCTTTTTTATTTTTGCTCAAAATTCCAGATGGGAGGGCTGGACGCACAGCTGCAGAGTGGTCGCTTTATAGGCTGGGAGAAGCACACAATACAAGCAAGCTCCAGCAGACAGGGTCTGGCAGGTCCCCCAGACTGGCCCCAGGACATTCACACAGGTCACCCTTCCTATTTGGGCAGGAGGCAGGTCCACTGGGGCATAAGCACAGCAGCAACCACTTCTGAGAAAACCCTCCGTCTCATGCTCTTCCCTCAACCCTCTCATCAGGTCCTGAGTGGGCACTGGGGTTCTCTGACCCGGCCCTGACCACGAGCCTGCTCGGAGTCTCCTGCAGTGTGCCCTCGGTCCTCCCCGGGCCGGGAGATCAGGACAGGGGCAGCCCAGTGTGTCCTCTGCCCAGCCTCAGCCTAGAAATCTGGGGCAGAGCTGTGCCAAGAGCCCAGCCCACACTCAGCCTGCTCTGCTCCCTGTCCAGGGATCCCCTGCCCTGAGAGTGTGGGTACATGGCCCACATCTCCCCAGGGCCTGGAGCTGAGGCCTCCTGTCCCTCAGGCTGCAGCATGGGTCAGGGCAAAGGGCAGGCGTCCTGGGGCAGGTGTGCGCTCCACAGACACTCCCAGGCACGGGCTCCAGGGAATGCAGTTCGGGCTCCAGAAGGGAGAGGGCAGCAGTCCTCCCACACACCGTCCTTGCTCAGGAAGTGGGGTGTTCCTGCCTGTCTCCCCACCCCCACCCCTGGAGCGGGACTGCAGCTGGCTCTCTGAGGCCCACCACTGCCAGCAGCAGCCCAAGGAGCAGAGGTATCACCTGTCACCCCCTAAAGGGGCACCCCAAATGGGACTCCTCTAGAGACCTTGAGGCCCGCGGCTCCAGGAAAGGACTCACCTTGCATGGGGAAGCCTGGGTCCCTTTGCTGGCTGCCCTTGTGGAAGCCTGTGACTGCCAGATCCCTCAGAAGTCAGGGGCGGCAGGCCCCTCTGTTAGGCTGGGGCACAGGGCTGTACAGGAGTGGGTGCGAGGATCAGCGAGGCACAGCTGGGAGTCCTGGGGCACAGTTGGGCTGCTTCCAGGACCCATCCGGCAGCTGCGTCCCCCTGGGCTCCCTGCACTCCGACACCCGCAGCCGGTAGGACTGTGGCCCTGGGGAGATAGGCAGGAATGCAGCGTGCCCAGGCGTAGGGCTGGAGTGCCTCCCCAGCTGTGCAGAGGCCTACGCAGATGGAGCCTGGTAATTAGAGCCCCTGACAGCTGAGAAGTGATGTAGGCAAGAGCACAGGGGGGGCTCCAGGATAGGATCTGCCTGGGGACAGGGCTGAGGGGGCCTCAGGAGAGGCGGCCTTATTGGAGGCAGGGCCTGGGCAGGGAGAGAAGCAGAGGCCAAGTCTAGGGGCCACCTTGGGCCAGGCTCTGTCACATCCAGCCTCCTATGTGATCCTTACGCCCTGACACATGGTTGCGATACCCAAGTGCTATAGAATCTGTCACCCCAACAAAAGCAGAGGGGCCTGCAGACAGCTAAGGCCTTGGGGACCAGAGAGGCTGCAGCAAAAGACTGCCTAGTGTGGACAGCTTCCGCCTCCATCCTTGAGGCTGGCCTGGGAAGGCCCGGGGCGAGCTCCAGCGTGCTCTCCATTCGGAGAACCTGGGCTGCCCCACCCTGGATGCTGCCAGCTGGGGTGAGGAGTACAGCCAGGAGGAAGAGGGCTACTTCCTGCATGCTGGGCTAGTGGAGGCTTCAAAAGTGCCCAGGGCCAGCCCCACCCCAGGACATGCCCCTGAGCCCAGCTCCAACACCAGGGTTTCCATCCTCTCCCACGCCCCACGCAGACAAAGTCCTGTGCTCAGCAGCATAAAGACCTGCAGAGGCAAGACACCCCAATTCCCACCCACTTTTCCAGTTCCTGGCAAAGGACAAAGCTTTGGGAAGATGTCCCCAACCCTGCCTGGTGCCCAGCCCAAATATAGGTCTTGAAATGTCCCCTTGCCAAACCACAGGTCACCTGGATTCTCATCTAACAGGGGCATGAACTCATTGGTGTTCAATGCCCAGCACTGCTAAAATGAAATAAAAAAGAAAATTGAAATGATAAGCATATATTTTACCATTCATCTTTAGCTTGTTCAATGTCAGCCCACCCAAAATGCAAATAGAGGCACATGGGTATTGTTATCACCAAAATAGTACACAAAAGGAACTCATCTATTTTGTTTGTTTGTTTGCTTGCCTGTTTGTTTTTACACTGCTGAGGACAGAACCGAGGGCCTCAAGCATGAGCAACACTCCCAGCTCTCTGCTGTTTCCTTTTCGTTTCACAAGTTTACGTTCCCCTGAGCTGTTCCTCTGATGTCCTGCGAGCAGAGAAAGGAAGGAAAAGCAGCTGCGAGCTGCCCTCTCCTGCTCTGTCCTTCCTTGTCATCCTGGCTCAGACAGGGAAGTAACAAAGTCAGAATGCCGGGCCACTGCCTGCTTCCTGCCATTGGGCTATTTCTGGTTCTAGCAGGAAGTGTGGTCCCCGCGCCAGAAGGGCTTCACCCTTCATGTGACACACTTGATGCTGACTTGGAGGGTCCCCTAGATTCTGTGCTGTTGATCTCTGAGGACCTCGAGGTATGGGGTATAGTGGGACTGCTCACGGGCTTGCTTATGCGGACCACTTAACAAAACACAAGTTCAGAGAAACAATCATTAAGACATTCAGAATAGCCTTAAACCATGCATTTGTAAATCCAGCTCCTGTGCAATGGCTCTGGCCTCCACCTAGGAAGCCAGCCCTTTTTCTTGACAAAGACCTTGTCTAGAATGTCCGATATGGGTCAGATTGGGGAGAAGGGCTGGGAGAAGACAGGCCTCAGGTGGGAGCCAAGGGGGCCACCTGCTGGGCCTAGGCAAGCCCAGGATCAGCGCTGCCGCAGCTGGCTTGCCCTGCCCTCCTTCACCACACACCCTTCTTGCCCCCTCCTGCCCCTGGTACAGGGGCCACAGCCCCAACAAACATAAACCCAACCAACCACCCTTTTCTGCCTGCAAATCCCCAGGGCCTGGGGACATGGTCCGGACAGCAGGCCATTTACCCCCAGCTCTTCAGCTCCAGCTGGTTTCTGGGTGCTCAGTCTTCACACACTGAGGAATCAGCCTTTCCTGTCCTCTAGCCCTAACCCTGATAATGTACTCAGCAGGTCTTTCAGTCTTACCCCTCTCAACACTCAGGTCCAGGGCTTCTTCCTCCCGGAAGCTCCGGGCCTTCTCCTCCCTAGGCCAGTCACATAAGCCCTGCCTATGTGTCTCAGAGCCAATGTTCCTATAGGACATCTGTCTGTTCCACCAGATGACTAACAGGAGGTGAAGGAGCTCACCACGTAGTCCCACACCTGGAAAATCATCAGTGCTCCACAAACGCAGTTGGCTGGTTAGGTGGGCAGCAGACGGGTGTGGGAGGAATGGATAAAGGATAGGCTGACAGGTGAAAGGTGAGTGAATGGATAGGGTAGACGTGGATAGTTTGGTGGGTGGAGAGGGACCGAATAAAAGATGAATGGGTGTCCGGGTGGGTAGAATGATGGAAGGAGAATGGATGAATAAATAGGTAGCTGGACATATGGGTGAATAAAATGGATAGATGGATGAGTGAGTGGGTAAACAGGTGAATGAATGAAGAGCAGGACGGATGGGTAAGTGGACGATAGATGAGTAGGTGAATAAATGAGTGAATGGATGGATGACAGGGCGTCTGTGAGTAAGTATGTGGGTGGACGCCCTGATGGCTGCAGTGTAGTTAGGTAGATGGACATATGGTAGATAAATATGCACACATATTGGTGGGTAGACAGATGGATAGATGATACGTAGATGGGTGAATAGAGAGGAATAGATGAAAAAACGGATGGACGGATGGGTGGAT